CTTCCTCTATTTATGATAATCCAAAATTCAAAATACTGATTTTTGTTTATTTAATTGTGTCTTTCAATATATACACGGAGGATGCATGCTGCTTGTCAGCGCAAAATCTCAGCTTTCACCCTCACATAACATGGCGGCAAAAGAACATCCAATATCCTATGGAGGTGACAATTGAACTTAACGCATTTCTGGGTAAAATGGGATTATTCCTTTAAGGAAAATGGCCATCTGATGAAAGGAAACGACGGAACTACTCTGTACTGACTCGGTGAGTGAGAACAGCTGCAGAAGGAAGACACCAACCGTCCGTGATTGGCTGTAGCACGGACGGTGGAACCAATTAGAAAAGCGAACTAGATTTAAAAGAGGAAATGGAATGAGGAACAATAACTCCGAAATGTGTCTTGGAGCAGATTGTGATACCACTCAGGACATTTTAAGTATTTACTTTTTGTTTTGTTTTATTGTATATTAATAAATTCATCTTACTGGATTTTTCAAGTCCTACTGGCGAGTGGTGCTTCCATTTACCTCATAAAGAATGATTACCCCCCTTTAGTGGGTTAACAGCCTTTTATCTAAGAGCCAGGTCCAATTAGCTCTCTCTAAGGTGAGCATGTTTCATCTGACTTATTCTATAATATATTACGTACATATTACACTAGGGAATTCTATTTGTGTTTTATTTTCGAGTTTTCCAAGAAGAATATTTAAAAAGAAGAGGGAAAGTGTGACCATAATACACCAAGAGGCATGTAATCCGAGCTAGTCCCATTGTGGCTCTATTTTTGTGAATGTGTCTATTTTTATATATACACCTAATTGGTGTTTTTGTACTACACCATTAGTTGTTGTTTTTTTTCTCTCTCTTTTTCCCCCATGTTTGATGATACTACCAATTAATACTCAAACTAAAGGGGTAAGTGCTTAATTTTTAGCGCTCCACTTAGGAAATTGGTGGTGGACTTCACCTCCAATATACCTATATTTCTTTCATATCTCAGGACCTGTTCATCTTAATAAAATCTGCCCTAAACTTTAGTTTCCAGTCACTAATGATGATCATAAAGTTTTTTCTTGGAAGAAAAGCACACTAAGAAAGTCATTGTCCTTACAAAGTGTTCATGAAGCTGTTCGGGCCACATGGCCCAAACTATCATTGGGGAATGTCTGCAGTTTTTCAGGGACACCTAGACCATTTTGTCCTAGACCCATGGGTCTTGAGTGTGATTTATTCAAGTTATCTGCTGGGCTCTAGGCAGCAACATACTCAGGGTTAATTCCAGCTGTGATCTTCTATGACTTTATTCCTTTCTAGGCTATTTGGCTAAACTAGGACAGTCAGTTCCCAAACAGGATCTTGGGTTCTCTTGAACCTGTTAATGATTCAAAAGAAGGATGGTAAATTCTGGCCCATCCTCGATCTCAGGTTCTGCTATTTGGATTCAGTGCAGTGAATGTGTGTGATTAATCCTAGCCCAAGTCTATGTTCTGTTATAGCTAGTCTTCATTTGTGAGCTAGCAGCCAGATGATAACTCCAGTTGTTCACTTTTAGGTGTAGTATAAGAACTGTGGCTTTCTCTAAGACTGTTGCATCAGTCTGTAGTTATACCTACAGCTCATACTGCTATGCCCAATAGTTCTGACTTTAGAATTTATTTTATTTACTCCCATATTTTCAGTAGACAGGATTTCACTTAAAAGTGCAACTTCCTTGTAGACATATATTTTTTTAAAAATTGTATGGTCCATAAACGTATCAATTCAACCAAATCAAAAGCCTTTTCACAAACACTTTAATGTATTTTCCAGACTGATCAATTCCTTTTGGTGTGGATTAAAAGGGTTTTGATTTGGATGAATCGATTTGTTAATGGATTTTAAAAAATGCCATGTCTACTTGCTTATATTTCTAGGTCCTATCATCCTATCACTCTTGCAAGGAGAGTAGATTACAACTACATCATACACTAACAGGGTTATTCACTAAAGTGAGAATTCAAAGTGAATATCAAATTAAAGGTAATGGAATTTTTAATGGAAAAAATATTTAAAGGGACACTATAGTCACCTGAACAACTACAGCTTAATGTAGTGGTTCTGGTGAGTATAGTCAGTGCCTGCAAGCAGTTTGCTGTAAACATAGCCTTTTCAGAAAAAGGCAGTGTTTACTTTGCTCACTAGGGACAGCTCCAGTGGCAGTCATTCAGACGGCTACTGGAGGTGCTTCCTGTATCAGTGCTTCACAGTGTGCAGCACTGATGTTCAGTGTCTCCCCGCTCTGCATGGAGACACTGAACTTTCTTTATTGAGATGCATTGGGTCAACACTGTGTTTTGCCGCACATGCGACAAATATAGTGTTCCTTTGAGCCAGTTATGATTCCAGTTTAGTTACCTTGGCCATGAATTTGAAATTCACTTTGAATTCTTTACTTTAGTGAATTACCCTTTAAACCTTAGCTGTATCTGTAAACCATTTACTATTAATTCCCAAGAAGTTTTTAACTTGCTATATAAAAAGCAACCTTCAGATTGACATCTTCTGGAAAAATGTATAGATTTTATAGCTATCTGTTAAATATTTCTAACCACATTGTTACTGGCACCTCACTATTTTATTTTTATTTTTGTTGCTGCTTTCGCCTTATTTTACATAAAAAATATTACCTTTTAACGTTCGACATTATTTGACCATCCTAATTCTTAGAAATTAATTTGTGTTCACTTATTCCATTTTATTTCAAAACCAGTAATCATTACCATAGGCATATCCTTAAAGAACTATTAGAAAAAATATTATAAGTTGTTCAACAAAGATGAAAGCGTGAATTTTAACTAGAAATAGACGGTTTTATCACCTTAATTAACTTTTCATGCATGCCATGCATAAATGTATCACAATGATGACCCTTTTGTCTGCTAAATAAATAATTAGCCACTGTTGTGAAATTCATAGCATGCATTATGTTTTGTATAAACTGCTCCTGGTTTCCCGCAAAGACTCCAGAAAAAAAGCAATTTTACACTGGCGATTTGGTGTTGTTTTTTTAATTAATTTATTTTGTTTTAATGGAAACAACAGGTAAAAAATATACTAGTACAATTCAAGACCAGGATTTCTAAAGTTATATTTCAAACAAGTAACTATTTTTTAAAAAAGCTGTTAGAGCAAATTGGGAAAGCTGCACATCTGGGTAACACATTAATTATTGGAGATTTTAATAACCTGGAAATAAATTTGGATGGAGGGACCAGTAGTTCAGCAAGAGGTTTTTGAACCTGTTAAAGAAGACCTTTTTGTGACAACTGGTACAAGCACCAACTGGAAGTGGGTGATTGCCTGGATCTGGTTATAGCAAACAACGTTGATCTTTTGACCAACATTCAAGTAGGGGAACATTTGGGAAATAGTGATCACAATATGGTGTCTTTTGAAATAAACTCAAAAAAGCAATTGCACATGGGGTATTCTAAAACATAATTTTAAAGAGGCCAATTTCAATATGATTAGGGCAGCTTTACAACATATTGACGGGCATAAACTCTTCAGTGGAAAAAAACCACTAAGGATAAATGGAATATCTTCAAACAAATATTGTGAAGGTACACTTCTCAGTATGTACCATTGGGTAATACATATAAAAGAAACAAATTAAAACCAATACGGCCTAGTGGGAAGGTAAACCAATAAACCAGAATAATCGATAAGCCATGCTGAAGTCATAGGTTAGAGAAAACAGGATAAACGGTAAGACAAGCCAAGATTCGTTAACCAGACAAACCAGACAAACTGACAGAGTATATGCATTATTGGGCTATCAAAAGACCAAAACAGGGGAAAGGTAAGTATATATACTCTTAGGTTAGCCGTGATTGGCTAACGTCCAATCAGAGTTAATTATCACATGTGCTTGTACCTCCCACTTTGATTAGTGATGTCATTTTTGCGCACCAAGTCAGGTGACTGACTCGGGCGCCTATTTATACACTCTGTACGCAAGCGTGCAGCGTCCGACTTGCTGCCAGGGGGAGCAGCTGTGAGAGTGTAAAGAAGCCGCGAGCGGTGTACGAGCCTGTGAAGCGACCGCTCGTGGCGCAGGTAGGAGGGAGGCTGCCGTGAGTAGCACGCAGCTGACCCAGACCGCCGCTCATGGCACCCTTACAGCTGCAGAGGGATTTAAATACACTGGGCACTTAAAAATAACAGATGAGATTTAACGTAGATAAATGCATAGTTATGCACTTCAGGGTAAAGAATGCAGAAGCAACTTAAATCCTAAACGGTAGTAAAATAGGGATAACAACACACATGAAGGATTTGGGAATTGTTATAGACAACAGACTAGACAACAATGTGCAATGTCAAGGCTAGTAAGGTATTATCATGTATAAAAAGGGCATTAATTATAGGGATGAAAATATAATTTTGTCTCTGTTTAAATCAATGGTAAGACCACACCTTGAATATGCTGTGCAATTTTGGGCATCTGTGCTAAAAAAGGATATTATGGCACTAGAAAAAGTGCAGCGGTGGGCTGCAAAATTTAATAAAAAGAGTGGAACAGTTTAGTTTTAAAGAAAGGTTATCAAATGTAAACATGTTTAGATACGAAAAAACAGTGCCTCAGAGGGGATATGATAGCATTGATATATTCAGAGTCAAAACAAGCTATTGTCTGGAAATCTATTCATAAACAGGATTATACTAGGAGTCTAGGACCAGGGCCGGTGCAAGGATTTTTGCTGCCCTAGGCAAAAGTAAAGTTTGCCGCCCCCCCCGTGACATCACAATGCCCCACCCATATGACCTGCCATGTTAACTAACGCTAGTGCTGCAGTGCCGCCGCTGTGTTTACATTAAAAGGCCTGCAGGGACAGGCTATAGACACCAGGACCACTACATTAAGCTGCAGTGGTTCTGGGGACTATAGTGTTTCTTTAATGTGAGGTAAATTAGAGATTAGTGCCACGAATAATATACTAGATTACCTACTTACAAGCAGATGAGGATGATGATGGGCTCTAGCTGCAGTCTGGCTCCACTGGTCTGGTGTATAACAGGATCTCTGGAGGCTGTTTGTAACTGTGGTCACAAAAATCAATGTTCTGGGAGAACGAGAAGCAGCTCCATTTTTTGGGGGCCCTTTACACAGCTCAAGGTCTGGGTCCCAGGGTCCACCTTCATGTTCCACCAATGAGTTTGTTGGGGTGGAGTGTGTAGGGGATGTCCTGATTTGTGTGTAAGGAATGCATTGTGTGAATCTGTGTTTGTATGTGTAAGGGCTGCAAGGTGTGTTTCTGTGTGTGTAAGGGATGAAGTGATGAAGTGTGTGAGTCTGTAAGGGGTGCTTTGAGTGTGTTTAAGGGGTGCATTGAGTGTGTGTAAGGAATGCATTGTGTGTTTCTGTGTGTAAGGGATGCATTGTGTGTAAGGGTTGCATTGCGTGTGTGTGTGTGTAATGCATTGTGTGTGTAATGCATTGTGTGTTTTTCTGTGTGCAAGGGGTTCATTGTCTTTGTGTGTAAGGGGTGCATTGTGTGTGATTGTGTGTGTGATGGATGTCAATCTCTCCCCCCTCCCTTGTCACTCTCTTCTCCCCCCCTCCCTTGTTACTCTCATTCCCCCTCCCTCCCCTGTCACTCCCCTCTCCCTGTCAATTTCTCTCTCCCCGTCAATGTCTCCCCCTCCCTGTTAGTTCCCCCCCCGTTAGTTTCTTCCCCCACCTCCCTGTTAGTTTCTTTCCCCCCTCCCTGTTAGTTTCTTCCCCCCCTGTTAGTTTCTTACCCCCCACCTCCCTGTTAGTTTCTTTCCCCCCACCTCCCTGTTAGTTTCTTTCTCCCCCCTCCCCTGTCAGTTTCTTTCTTCCCCCCTCCCCTCCCCTCCCTGTTTCTTTCTTCCCCCTCCCTGTTTCTTTCTTCCCCCTCC